TGATTCCTAAAATGGTTAGAGTGAAAATGGACACTGGGGAAAAAAAAAAAAAAAAAAANAAAAAAAAAAAAAAAAAAAAAAGAGAGAGAGAGAAACAATCAGGAAGCAAAAATTGTGAGGGTCTGTCTAAATCAGAGTGTTTCTAATCAAACTAAACCTGCRTTATGAGGTTGTTGAATGTTCATAAGAGGATATTGAGGGGATCTTTGAGTTAAAGGTAATAGATGTTACTATAAGGAGGTTGTGAGGGTGGTGGAAGGCTACCTTGAACTGTACAGGAACCACCACCAAAACAAACAAACAAAACCTAATATTTGCATATTCACCCATGTCTTAAGAAGTGAATTATGATGAATAAAGTACAGGAAGGACATTGCCAGTGACGTCYACTAGGATGCCAACTAGTGCATCCCTTTGAGTTCCAGTATCTCAATGGTAACAAATAACTACATAATGAAAACATAAGTTTTGAAAAATGAACAGGACATCWTCCATAGATTGTCACCTTACTCCATGCTATCAGTAATCAAAATTCAATCTTCAAAATAGTGTTSCTTAAGTATATGAGTACATATGGCTGTATTACACTTGCAAATCCTGTGTTTGTGTGTACTTCTGTGGAAACCTGTCTCTGATCCCTATAAATGTCCGATATTACATATGCTGTTATCATATCATAGCAGATATCATATGCTGTTATATGTATAGTGTATTGAGTGTTTATGAACRTGATGTATACTGTGTAAGGAGTATAGTTACAGTGAGCACATTATCCACTTAAATTGCATCCGATTATTGTTGTTACTCMTGAAAATAATTTCAGACTCAATATATATATTTGTGATACATACCCAGGAATTCAGTAGTATATTCCAAAGAAATAAGAAATTTAATTCATAAATTCATCTTAATTTGTAAAATGAGTCCACCAGCAAAGAAGGTAACTATCTAAAGAATGTATATATGACTATATATATAGGGACTGTTCTTTTTCCTCTTCTCCTCTTTTCTTTCTTTTTTTTTTTTTTTTCCTCTCTCAGGCGAAATATGCCCTGTGTCACATGGTTACATTTCAGTAAAGGCACATTTGGCATCATAACTATCCACAGCAACTACGTAACTACTAGCCAAAATATTGTGGCAAAGGCTGAGGTAGGCAAAGAGAAGGTTTCAGGTCTGTCAGAGCAATCACACACACACACACACACAAAATAAATAAATAAATAAATAAATAAAAATTAAAAAAAAATACATAAAAAAAACCCACAGCCGATTGAATCCCCTCCACTCCTCTTTATTTCAGGAGGCCCCACGCGCGGCTCTGCCCTGCGGTCCCGCGCACGGGCGCCCGGCCTGCTCTGCAACCCGCAGCTTCCCAAGAGCTGCTTTTGTAAACTGCGCGGCCTTAGCTTTTAATTGGGGGGGKTTTGTGCCACCAGATCCCAGAGCATGAGGAAAAATACTGTTTCAGAAAAGTTCTTTGGGCGCTGTGAGGTGGTGGGACGTTGCGGGGCCGTTTGGAGGGTTGTGTTTCCCCGTGCACGCGCGCGCAGGTGCGGGCGGGTACACGCACCCCTTTGGGGCACCGCTGGGAATCATCCTCGGGAAGCCTTCTCAGGCCGAGCCCAGCTCCGCGCTTTGAAAGGGTGCGGAGCTTTGGAAGGGCCAAACTCTGCTCTTAGGGACCCGTCCCTCCGCGGGCGCTGGAGGAGATCTCGGATGCTCCGCGGCTGCCCGCGCAGCCCCGCTCGGCTCCGCTCCCGCGTAGCCGGTAGCAGCCGCGGGAGCCGATGCGCCTGAATTAAACTTCAGTCCTCTTGTCATGGAGCCAGAATGCAAAATGCGGGCTTGTCCAGTTCGTGCTGACCCCCGTTCCTGCCGCGGAGCTACCGCGAAGCTGCCGGGGAGCGGAGAGGGTTTGAGCGCGGCTGGAGCCAAGCAGCGGCCGTGTCTGAGCGGCTGCTTCAGCCAGTGAATTCCAGTAAATAGTGAAATATTGGGGCTGGCAATAACAGCGCTAGCAATGCGCGAGAAGTGCCAGCAGCAGCCGGGCTCTTCTTCGCTACTTTAAGGCACGGCCAGTGCTTTTTGGTTGTTTGTTTTGTTTTTCCTCGGCAGGCAGTCTGAATTGTAGGACTTATTTCTTGTCTGCGCAGAGTTGCTGGTCCGACATTCTGCCCTCAGTCCCTCGAGGGGAGATTTGGAAACTCCCCATTGGTATTTTGTGCCTGACTATGCGGTACATGGGTGCGTTTCAGGGAGAATTAAGTGATCTGCTATTTTATTTACACTCCTAGGTGCAGATGATTATTCGGAGCCTAAAAAGAATTGAGTTGTGAGAGCCAGAATCTGGTTAATTCATTTTCTACTCCGTGCGACCAATGCCGGACAYAGCCCGTGCGAAGCAGAGAGCTCTGTATGCCCGTGTGCGACCGCAGCCCTCTGCAGACCAGGGCGGAAAATGCGTGTGGGGATCACAAATGCTCTTTTAGAGCCCTTCCAACTTGTCATTGACTTTTTTTTTTTTTTTTTTTCCCTCAACTATAAAGTGTTGGAAATGCAGATGCGGAGCTCTAGAAAGTTGCAGCGACCCGGTCCCCACGCACCGATGATTTCGTTTCCGGTTGTCTGCAAAATGAGGCTTAAGCCAATTTCGTGTTTAAGGCTAACGCGAGGGATCCGTATTTCCTTCTTAGATGCGGGGCATTCCTGAGATGTCTTTCTGATCGTGCTGTAGGATGCTGCTTTAATTTGCCTGGAAACTCTCGCCGAGATTTGTATGCAGAGGTTAAGGAGAACGTGAATTTTTTGAGCAATCGGGATGTTTTGTCTGAAAAAAATATATTTTTTCCTCAATAAGTCCATATTAAGCTGTAGAGTATCTGGCTCACGTTTAACCCAAAGAACCACTCTACGTAGCAAAATGCGCATTTGTTATTAATCCCTTTCTTTCACTGCTCTGGGGGAGAAGTGACACTTTCTGAATTTTACTGTTTTAGGTTAAAAAAAAAAAAAAAAAACACTTATAACTCACTTCATTTGGGCAAGTTGGGACCTTTTCTGCCATGCTTCTCGTCGCATTTAAATGCTTGCACGAAGCGAGTTTTATAGATGGGCACCGGGCCCCTCTCTGCGAGGGACTTCTCTGTGCTGAGTCCCCAAATGAGCCCCTCGGCTGCTCCTCGTGGGAGCGCGGCCGCCTCCGCGCCCCGCGCTCCGCGCCCGCGCCCTTTCCGCCGCCCCGCGCTGCGAAGCCAACATGTTTATCCTGAGACGGAAAATGGGTTGTTGAAAAACAAACCATGTGCAAATAGTTTAATTTTCCGTTTTGATGCTTATCTTTGTTTCCCGAATTTCAACGGAGAAGCTTTAATTGGCGCGTGGGTAATAGTCCCCAAATAATCCCTTATTAGATGACTTCAGATGAGTTGTGAACCAATAACGTCTTAGTTGCCAAAGTGAAAGTAGCTCTGGAAGGCACAGGTCAGTTTTTGTCAAAGGGCTCATTTGAGCATCTTTTGGTTTGCTGAAAAAGCTAATTAAAGGATGTTTGAAGGTTAAAGTCATTATTCCGTGCTGTTGTCGTGCTACAAGTGAGCCGAGTTTTGTGAAAACACAAAGGGCAGAAGTCACTGAGGTGGATTACTGTCAGCCCGGGCGCAGCGGCACGGGGAGCTGTCCCAGTAATTCCTATGGAAAGGTGGATAGACAGACACGGCCCCGCGAAGCCGCTCGTCTCGGCGCCGCCTCTGCCTTGGGGTCTCTTCCAGGGGATGCGGCCGGCATCCCCAGCTCGGTGACAGGGACACTGGCGGACGCCTGGACCAGGGAGGCTGTTTACAGGGCAGAACTAGCTGCGTTGCTCCCTGTTTCCATCTAATGCGTCTATTTTTTTTCATTCTCCCTCTCCCCTCTCTTTTGCTAATGGATTCGTTACTCAGCAGAAGTTGGCATTTCGCGGGAACTCGCGGRGAGCCGCGGGCACCCTCGCAAACTTCCAGTTGGTGCTGCTGGCTGCGCCCTGCGGACGCGGGCACTGTAGGCAGGGCTGGGGACAGACCCTTCTTTGCAGTGACAATTGCGGGAAAACCAAGGAGAGCGGCGGGTGAAGGCGCTGCGCGCCGCGGGGGGCTACGCGGCTGCGCGGCTGTTGCGCGTGGGGCGCAGCACCCGCCCTGCATGCCCGGCAGCGCCGTGCGCAAGTCCCCGGCTGCCTGAGCCTCAGTGCGCGCCCTGGTGCGCGCGTGGGCGAAGAAAGCTGTCCGTGAAACAAACGCGCGCAAAGATGCGCCCCGTAGTGCGCGGCCGGGGCTCCGCCGCTGCTCGCCGCCTGCTCCCCCGAGCTCTTTGCCCCGCGCTCTCGCAAACTCTTTATTTTTTTCTTTATTTTTTTCGTTTTTTTTTCAGGTCTGGCTACGACCACATCTCTCCCCAAATTCAAAGAAACAGATGTTTAGGCTGATTAGGGATGGGGCGCGGGGGGGAGGGAGGGGAGGAGAAAACCCTGCAGCTGCAATTCAAATAAATATATTGATAAAATATTTCACTAGTAATAAATACGCCGAGATCAGCTCGACCTTGCAAGGTCTTTATTTTATTATTTTTTTTTACCCCTATATACAAAAATCTTTATCAAACCTCCATTCTATGGCTTCAATAAACAGAACCCATTACCTCACGGCAGCTTTTGTTGGCCTGTATACAAGCGAGAACAAAATGGTTATTCAGGAGAACGCTTTCGATTTTTATTGTGTGTAGTATGCACAAAGAGCAGTGTTATTGTATTAAAAAGAACCATCTGTAGCAGAAACAATGGCATCAAATTATCTTTGAATACCCACTGCAAAATATAAAGCTTTTTTATTATTCTTCTGCTGTACGGTGGGGGACAGAGAAGTGACTTTTTTGTTGTTGTGGGTGCATTCTTATAACACACACACACAAAATCAGCCATTTGGATTTTTTAAGCCATAAACGGTTTTTTTTTCCTCTTGTTCCAGGGACTGCAGTTAAAAGCTAGGGCTAGGACTTGGAGGATGTGTAGGCAAACGGAAGGAGAGCCGGGGGAAGAAAAACCGAAATGGATTCATTCTCTGTCCTGGATGGAGGAGGAGAGGAGAAGAAGGGGACGTGCGAGCTTCCTTCAACTGCCTCTGTCCGGTGCAAAGTGATGAAACCCCGGGGTCTCCTCAGGGCTCCGGAGTCCGCGCGGACTTTCGCTTTAAGCTGCCAATCAAAGCGCTAACTAGACACCACCCTGCTCTGGCACGGACATGTAAGTAGCTGCAGCAGAACTTTGACATTCACAGTTTCCCCCCCCCTTTTTCTTCCTCCCCCGTGACCTTTAAAACGATTTCGAAATAGAGCTCGCGGTTCGCGCGCCGCTGTCCGCGCCGGGGGCAGCTGCCGGCGTCAGCGCGGGCGGCTCGAGTGACGCTGCGCGGCGTGTCCTGGCCACCATCGCGCTGCGCCGCCCGCGCTGCCTCCGCGGGCACGAGCGGAGCGGCCCTCGCGTTGCCCCTTTGCGGCCCCGGGCGGAGCGGGAGGGCAGCGCTCATCCGACTTGCGCCCAGCGCCGCTTAGAGGCTCCGCGCGCCGCGCAGTGTCCCCCGGCCGGGGATGGGGGTAAAGCAGCAGCCGCGGGCGGTGCAGACCTGCGCCCCGCCGGGATTGGGGTGTGTGGGACGGGGGTCACCTGGGCGCGCAGAGACGCGCAGCGCAGCGCGGCGGGCGGCGCTCGCTCTCGGGCGCCCCCTRGTGCCTGCGCGGCCGCGCTGCCCGCCCGCGCCCGGCGCCTTCCCGGCCGCTCCGCGCCCGCGCGCGGCCCCCGCAGCCCAGAGCCGCGGCCGGAGGCGCGGAGCCCCGCGCGCGGCCTCGCCGTGCGGCTGCGCGGGGAGCGGGGGACGCGCCCAAGGAAGTTGGGAATAGATCCAAACATTTCCTTGCCTCGGTCCAGCACTACCTTCCGATGCGCTGCAATTTGGGTTGGCAAAGATGGATTTTGACATTTTGTCTCGTTATAATTCCATTTATAGGAAAGCGCATTATAGCTACTCTTAGCAAAGTTGAGCTTGGATTTTTTTCCTCCTCCTCTTTCACCCTCCTTTTTTTTTTTTTTTTTTTTTTTTTTTGGTAAGAATTTGGTAGATAAAGGTTAATCTCGGGCTGAATGATAGAGCTGTGATTGACAAGAGAAAAGGTGTTGAGGGCAGGTCGAGCTGTCTTATTTACAGCCCACTGCTTGCTATAGAGCCTTTGTTAGGACTGGAAAGCTAATTTAGTGCTGATCAAAAGCACCACGGAGTTAAAGGACTGGTAATGACTGCTAATTTCATTTCAGCCTCATACATCCCCAACTGCTGTAATTAAAGACGTGCTATTTAAATACAGGTGAAGAGTTTTTATAGTAAGGAGAAAGTGGGTAGCCGGTTACAATTTTATTTATGCTTAATATGGTGAAAGACCAACATTTGATTTATGGTTCTTAGCGATTTGCTCTTCCATGATATTCTGCTTCTTTAGAGCAGGGCTGTGCGCTATAGACTGACTATGTAGAAAACACCGCAAAAGACGAATACGATCCACGGTCTAGAGTTATTTTATTTTATTTTTAATTATCCCCATCCAGTGGCAACGGGAAAACATTGGGAGCGCAGGGAAGAGGGAATCTGGAGGGGTGTGCATGAGCTTTTAAGTGCCACTGAGGAAGCTCAGGTCCTCATATTATTATTTTTTAATTAAATTATTTCTCCACTCCACGGCTGGTTTGCTGGCTCCGGAACGATGTAATTTCGCGAGTGATATAACAGTTTCTTTCTGGGCGACATCAAAGGATGAAAGCTCTACATTTTCGTAGTTGGTTAAAATTGATACAAAAAAAAATAAAAAAAAAAAAAAAAAAAGAGAGAGGGAGAGAAGAATTTAGCCTTTAATCTCTTTTTATCCATGAAGACTAAAGATCTGTACTCGACCCCGCTAAGATCCCGCGCGCTCCCCCTTCCGCGCGGCCGCGTAGCGCGGGGCGCGGCGCCCCCTGTCGGGCGCGGCGGGCGCCGCCGCGCGGGGATTAACGCGCGCGAACGGCGTGAAGCGCGGGCGAGCAGCGCTGCCCGGGCGCCGGGTTTGCCAGTTCTTCCTGTCTCTCTGCTTCTTTCCTTTTTCTTTGCTTCCYTACTTATTATTTATTTATATTTTCGAGATAAGGAAATTCAAAGTGAGCGTATAACCCAGACGCAGAAATCGTGGAAAGGAGGGGAAACCGCCTCCAAATTGAGCTGTCTGGGGATTAAAAAAAAAAAAAAAAAAAAAATCATCTGCTTTATTTCTCACCAGAGGCTTCCGAAATTCCAGTGCCGGAGGCTCTTTCTGTGGCCCGGCACGGCCGGCGTCAGCTCCTCAACGTGTAGGTGCCGACCTACACGGCATTGGTATCCTTATCCTTATATTGGTATCCTTAGGACACCGGAATAATTAGGACCTTTCCCTACTTCCCTACTTTCCTGCTCCGGTGTCCCAGCGCTCTCGGGAAATCCCAGCCTCTCACAGGCTGCCRCACGTGTCTCTGTCCCAAAGTGTTCCGAAAGAAGTCAGTGCTGACAGGTGTTGCTTGTGAGCAGAGGTGGACGTTTCCGTTTCATTAAGTAAAATAGAAATGGTCTAAAATTAGATGCTTTAAAATCCAAAGCAATAAAGTCGTCTCACATCCCTACAAGAAAAAGAAAATCTCTTCCCCCCCCCTTATTCCCGGGGAAAAAAAAAAAAAAAAAAAAAAAAAAAAAAGAGAAAAAAAAAAAAGAAAGAAAGAAAGAAAAAGAAAAAACGCTATCTTAAGTGAATGCATGGAGAGGTTAGGTTTCTTTTTTTCCCCCTTTCTTATTTTATTTCACTATTGAGAGGGCAGATTTAAAAGAAACCTAGGTGATATAAAACGATTAGCTGAAATATGTGAAGTGCTGCGGTGACACCAACTTTTTAGATGAATTAGCCACTTATTTTAGAGGCATCTGCATAGCTTTGTGCAATGCATTTAACGGCCGTATTTGCAAGTTGCAGTAATAACCAACACAGTTTATGCGTATTGCGTGCGAAAAGAAACACTAATGGAAACCAAATTATTTCTGCCAAATTGGGGTTATTTTGTATCTCCTGTTGACAGCCTGGATGGAAGGCGTAATGCCGCAGTTTTTTCTATTAAATGAATCCTATGGTTGTTGGGCTCACAATAAACTTTTCACTTTGGAAATTATATATGAGTAGTATTTTTAAAGATTATTGTCACGCTGAGTGTTCTTGCTCCATTCTCTCAGTTTGATCTCCGCTTGAGATTCCTAATAAGGCAGTTGTGTAGTAAGAGCGCCTAAAATAAAGACACGGCGTTTTCTATAAATAATAGCTAAAGCCCTGCAAAGATTTCCTGCACAACGGAATTCCCAGATTTCCTTTACTATTTTTTTTTAGTTAGCATGCGTAGGGTATATATAACTCTGAAATTAAGCAAAAATATGCATTTATATACATCTGTCAAGCTGGCTATAAACAGAGATATTATAAGTCAATTACCACGGGAAACGAGAAAAAAAATATATATTATGGAGCAGTTGGTATACACATTTTAACGTCAGGAGGCACTTTACCTAAAACTCAGCGAGTTGCCGAAACGTGGGTGTTTAACCCGGCTCTGGGAGAGATACTGTGAGCGCTGCTCTTGGACGCAGCAGTTGTGAGGGGGTATAACGGGGTCGTAGCCCCCTGCTCCCCGAGGCAGGGGCTGTCACGTAAATTGGAGGCTCCCACGCGCTGCTGCGAGCGGGGTTTGGGTTCCCTGGGCACGGCCGCGAGGCTCCCGGGAGCTCCCAGGAGCAGATGCCGGGAATCCGGGGAGCTCCGAAGCTCAGCAGGCACCCGGGGGTATCGCCCCACGCCTCCTTGTCCTTCACCCCATCTTGGGGGTGAAGTGCGGGTGTTTTGGGATTATTTATGTGCTGCGGTATAGGAGGCTTTGCGAGCCACGGCTTTTCTGACTGGCCCTTGGCTTTTTCTTTGCAAAACAGCAAAGCGAGCCGAAGCGCCGCTTCCCGGGGGCTGCTCCTGCTTTGCCTCCTCTTTGTGTCCTCTCCGCCGCTCTCCGTCCCTCAGTAGCTCCATGTGCCTGGGCAGGGCCACAGGCCCCGCAGACTCCTCTCCACGGGCGCAGTGGGACCAAAACCCCGCAGTGGAACCAAAACCCGGAGGATTACCATGAAATAAGGGCCGCGACACCCCACGCAACCCAGTCCGGATGCTGCAGCTCTGTGTGCGCTCAAACACTTCCCATGTCTATACTGGTCCCGGCCTAAGCCTGGGTGAAGGTGCGGGGTTCCCTGCCCGTCTCTGCCCCTTCAGGGCGGCTACGTATAGACTTCACTCGGCTCCTTCCCGCGCCCCCGGTCTTTCACAGTTCTTCCAGCCCCTTGGATGGAGGACCCTAGATAGACACATGGGACGTGTAGTTGTTATTATTTACAGCGCCGTCTCTCTTGCTCCGATTAAGCGCCGTCTGAATATGAATCCCCCGTATAGACAGCTAGGCTATAATTTGAATTAAAATTCCCCCCTCCCTGCGAGCCAGGCGCCTGAAGATACAGAAATCACAAGCCTAACTTGACACAATGAGCCCATGGTGTCAATAAACCATGGGCGAGATGGAGAGATTGTCACTCCCGACCATAACAGTTCTGCAAGTGTCATTACCGCCTGTCYTGTCAATGAGCTCCAAATTAAGGACTAGGAGGAACGCAGCAAGATAAAAGTCACCGTCTTGGTCCCATTACGGGCGATGGTGTCACTGATCTGTGAATCACTGGAAAGGGGATTTTTTTTTTAATTTTTTTTCTCTCTCTTTTTTTTTTCTAATGTACTTTTCAATCCCTGCCTCGGGATTCTCGGGTTTTTTGAGGAACACCGAGAAGGAAAGAAGCATCCTTGAAGTCCCCAGGTTTCGTCTCCTGCGTTGCCATTGCAATTGTGAGAGCTCCTTTGGGCAGCCTTGTGGCTTCCATGGAGAAGCCTGAATAATCCCATCAAAACGGCGCGCTGCCCAGAGAGGACTTCATTAGATTTAGGTGACACTTGTGATCTCAGGGATGGATACTATTTCTTTTTTTTTTTTAACATTGTGGTTTTCGTAAATCAATGTAAAAAGGGTGAAAGAGAAGAGAAATAAAATAGAAACCTAAACTTCAGCAAAAGATAACAGGTTTATCTTTAATACATCTTCTTTCAGCCATTAAGACTTCC